TCCCCATACTAAAGCCAAACCCTAGTCATCAATTCGTAACAATGTCCTAAGTGACTCCAAAATAAATAAGTTAATAACTTATATACGAAATATATAAAGCACGAAACTACATTTTATGCACAAGTAGGTTAGAACCATACAATACATGCTCTAAATCCACATCTACTATAGGATGACAAATGTCGAATCTTCAGAGTGCGATTCGTTACACGCTATAATAACATCACATGTCGAATCTTCAGTATGTAATTCGTTACACGCTATAACAATATAATTCAATATTGAAAATATAAACTCATGAATATAAATTTAACAATAATGTTACTCAATGCTTAAAGCATAACCAAGTGAATACGCAACAAGTCCAAACCCATGATCTAAACATAGAAACAACTTCTAAAACATAATTAGATCCATGGAACAATGCGATAGAATTTAATTAAATAAAAATAATTAAATTCTCTAGATTCCAAATAACTTCAAATTAATATATGTTAAAAGACATAGCATGGTCATCACATATATCACATCGAAAACTTAAATAAGCCAATGGAGCCATTAAATAGATTTTAATTAATTCTTTTAATTAAAATCTCTAGATTTTCAAACTCATCCAAATGCTCTCAAATTAAATTATGTTAAAGAACATGCCCAGACTTAATTTAATAACTTATCACAAGTTACTTCCATGCTAGGTACGACCATGAGAATTAAACTTTCACAAAAGAAAATTATTTATTAAAAGTTGCAATCATTATTCAAATAATCCTAATTTAATATATGTCAACAAACATACCAAAACCTAATTTACTAGCATGCCATAATTTAATTCTAAGTTGAATATCATCATGAGAATTAAATCTTAAACATAGAAAATAATTAAATTAAATTCTAGATTATGAACAAAAGCATGCATACAAATTATATAAGCATCAATAGCATGCAAGACAACAAAAATATAAACTATAACATCCACTACCTCCATTTGAGATGAAATCTCAAATCCCCACTTAAAGAAAAGTGCTCCGAATCCGACGATACTCCTAAGTTATGTCGGGGATAACACGGTGATCATTAAACACCAAGGAGGTCACACCAAAATCCTAACTTGGCCTTAAATCCGAACTTTAAAAATGGCCAAAAAAGGATTCTAATAAGGGGGAAAGATGCGCGTCGTCAAGACAAACATAAAACACAAAGGCACTACGACTTTTTAACAAAGGGAAGAAGTCCAAAAGAAGAGAGAGAAGGTGGAAGCCCCATTGGCTTCCATGGCTGCCCTCCAAAAGGGAGGAAGAAGATGGAAAAGTGATTTTTCACTTTAAGACATTCTATTTATAGCAAAACCCTAAAAGTGCCCCGAAAGGGCCCCGCTAGGTCCGGAAAAGTGAAATTTAAGCAGATGAGCTCAAACGGTGAAACTCTATGAACGAAAAAGAACCAAAATGAGAAAATATGAATAACGGAAGAAATAGCGTTGAAAGCCGAGTCCCGAGCAGAAAGATATGCCCCAAATAAGTTCGGCGACAACTAGGGCCATAAACCTTGAAACTGGGGGAAAATGACTAGAAGAAAATTCTAAGAGTACGCGACTCAATGAAATATGAAAATGAATCCCGTACGAGGATCCAAGCTCAAAGCGAGACATTTTGCAATAACTTTCATTAATTGCATAATGGCCCCTACAAAAAGGGTTAACTGCACTAATGACTCAGAATGAAAATATCTTCCAAAAATATTTTCTTAAAAACCCCTGAAATAAAATATCACCAAAAGATATTTATGAAAAACATCCCAAGAAAAGAAAATGTTTCTGAAGAACTATGCATCCATGCCCCTATGGACACCGGGAGCAACCAGAGTGCTTTTCCATAAAAGTAAATATACGTATTTCGTGAAAACCACTTAGAATGAAGGTATGTGAAGTCAAAAACCAACTCCAAACACAAAAAGTGAGGTTATGCCAACAAAGTGACAAACGGGGAAAAGACAAAATAGGGAAAAAGACGAAAAGTGAATAGTGTCCAAAAAGTGAAAATATGGAAATGACTCGATTCTCAAAGGAAGTTGTCAATCCAAAAAAAAGAGTCTCAGAAACCATTCCCGAGCACTTGAGACGACACTAAGTGACGAGAAACCGAACTCATAAAAGAAAAGATCAACGGAAAAAAAATATCAATAAAAATTTGAGAAAAGGGAAAGGAAGGAAAATGACCGAGTCATTACAAGCAATAGTATTTTTCTGCTTCTTATTACCACAGTACTGTGCTAGGAACATGGCGCATAGAGTTTCGTAGTTCTGGATGGACTTGTGTGGCCCATTCTTGAACCATTCCAATGCGGCTCCTGTCAGACTAGTTGGGAAAACTTTGCACATGAATGCATCATTGTGGTTATCCGAGCCATCTTCTAAGAGCAGTGATCGAGGTGACGGGAAGGATCTCCCGTGCCATAAAACTGAGTGAAGGTTGGCATGGTGGATTTTTTAGGTCTGTCGACGTAGTATATCTGATCAGTGAATAAAGTCTTCACTAGAGAAACCTTATGCTCTTTGGCCATCTCGGCAAGTGTCTAAATCTTCAGGAGCTTCTTTTCATCAAAGACCTCCTGGACACCATCTTGAACGCCATTTGTCCATACTATGAACTTGCGACTGGATTCAGCCTGTTCGTCTTGTGTGTGCTGGGGGTGGTTGTCCAAAGCTATTGCGTCGGTTCTCGTCCTCTACTCCTATCGACTCTCGTTGGCTTGAGCTTCGTCAATAGGAGGGATATTGTGGTTGAGGGGGACTCCTGCTACATTGCCTGGTGGTGGTTGTGGTGATATCTGCGCCATGACTATCTGGAGAATGTCGTTTCTTTGCTGAAGCAACGCAATCTGAGCCGTACTGGCCTCGTTTGCTTGACGGAGGGTCTCGAACTGCTACAAGAACTCTTCTCGCATCTTTTACATTAGTTCTATCTGTTGATCGACTGCGGCTGCGGCTCCTCCGATTGACATTCTGGATCGTAGTAGCATAAAAGATTTCAAATCACTCATGGGGGTATATTTCTATACATTTCGCACAAACGACGCCAAAGTGTAGGTGTAAAAATTCGTTTAACTAAAAAGCCAAAAAAATAAATACAACTCACTCAAATAAAAGAACAATTAATAACAAGAACAATTCAGAGAAAAACTTGTAATGCTCGATGATCTTTATTGGAGGTCTATGACTCTATTTATATACAAAAAGAAGGTGGAATTATGGTAGGATTTGCTATGCTTGTCCTCCAATTCATTCTATATATAATTCTTTATATACAAGGTTCTTTCTTTCTTTAATTCTTTCCATATAGAACTTCTTTACTATACAGGACTTCTTCCTATGCATAGTTTCCTTATACGAAGGGTCATTTGTCAATGAAGATTTGATTAATCCTAAACGTACTTGGATTATAATTGTGAGTGGGCTGGATGAGTTTTTAGTAGGTCGAGAGTTTAACATTAACAACCTTGGGCCGATAGTGACTTTACTTGGGCTTGATCAAAATTGGGCTTCGATGGGCTAGTGGAGAACCACTGGGATAATATCTTATTTTAATGACGTGACTGATTTTTATTGGAGGGGGATTTTTCCCTCCACAGATATCACAGTAGATTTTGTTGTCCAATCTAAATCAATATAATACTTGTGGATCATATGATTATAAGATTGCACGATAACACGTGAATATTGTTACTTTAGCTAGAGGCTCAACTTGAGGTATGAAATACTCAAATTTAATCCAACCTAACTCGAGCTTAATACATCCTTAATTTTTTAAGCTCTAGTTGAATTTGGACTTACAACTCAAACTACAATTTCAGATTGAATTGCATATTAGAATTTGGCTTCTTGTAATAACAAACAAAATTATGTAAGCTCAATTTTTACATAGGTCAATGTCGGCGATCGAATTTGGTATATATGTTAAAGTTTCTAATGCTTTTTTTCATATATATATATACACACACATTAAGTACTTCTCGTGATTCAAGAAGAGGTTTCCCATGTATGCCATAAGTTATATAAGTTAATATGTCAAGATTAAAATATTTTTTAGCAGAAATGACCCATGGGTTCTTTAATTCTTCTAGTATTGTCTTTTCAATTTATTTTATTTTATTTGGAGGACAAGTTTACTTGGAGACCAAGAACTTCACCTGGCGAGTAAACAATGTTCTCTATATATACAAGGTCTGAAAATACAGATCATGTGCCAAATACATGCTTTGAACGTATATATAGCCCTAAAACGTTTATTCTACCGCTAAAAGCATTCTTTATTTTTTATTACTTTTTTTCACAACATTCTTTGTTTATTTGTTTATCCACGAGTATTCTATGTAAAAGTTCTATTTGAGTATATCCAACATCACACTTGATATATTCTATGGTGTGTGTTTTTTTTTGTGTTTTATGCATAATATTTACATATTATAATATCCTTTGCATTAGATATTGTGTATACCCTTTGCATTAGATATGGTGATTACAATGTTATACATTATAAAAATTTAATGAAGAATATGTCATCAAAATAATATAAATTTATTTCATAATTAATTTTAATAAGAAAATTAGATTAAGTGTAATTAAATAATAAAAGACATTATGATTATTTAATAAAAAATAATCCAAGCATGAGAGACATTTTGTCAACAAAATATGATAATGAGAGTTATTTGTAAATTTACAGAATTTTTTTTTTTAATTTTGCATTTTATCCTATTATATTTTTACGTTGTTTGTCACATTGCGTGGCTGTATCGTAGTCGTATTGTATAGTGTCGAATGTACTATAACTTTGGACACCGCATGATAAAGTACTGCAGAAGATTTACGTTAACGCGTTATACCTCGTAACGAAAACATCCATGCGTGGGGGCATCATCAAAATCAAACGGTCTCCACTCCGCCACGTATCAAATTAGGGTTTTTGAGAGTCACCGATTGCAGAATATAAACCACACAGTTTCATCACAGCCGGCGCGGTGCAGTTCGGTCTGCCCTCCCCTAAAAAATTCTCTCTCTACAAATTTTCTCACTCATCGTCGACTATTTATCCGTCCGGATCTCCGACGATTTATCCCCATTCTACCCTTCCCTCTCCTCCCTTATCTCCAAAAAACCGAAAAACACAACTACAAAAATCCACTCCGTTTCAGTTTCAGTCCTTATAGTCCGATCGGTTTCGAAAGTGTATCAGTAATTTCTTTGTTGTTATCTATCTAGGGTTTCGTTTCAATAACAAGAGGAGAGGGAAGAATCTGGAAAAAAAAAGTGAAAAAAAAGTGAAGATTTGAAAGTCAGTTTTGGAAGAAATGGCACAGATTCAGGTTCAACATCAGAGTCCGAATGGCGTGGCGGCAAACGCCGGTGGGGCGAACCAGCTCGTGACCACGTCTCTCTATGTCGGAGACCTTGACTTCAATGTCACCGACTCGCAGCTCTATGATCTATTCAATCAAGTTGGCCAGGTTGTTTCGGTTAGGGTTTGCAGGGACTTGAGCACTCGCAGATCTCTCGGTTACGGCTACGTCAACTACAGCAATCCTCAAGATGGTATTTTGTGTTTCTTCTTTGTATTTTTAGTTGTATTGCTGGTTATACAAATTTGATTGAATTGTAGATTACTGTGTAATTTGGTCCAATGTTTGCTTGGAATTTCAAATGATGACTTACTGTGTCTAAAGATTGTTTAACATGTATAATGTTGGGGAATTGGTAAAATTGGTTGTATTCCCAGTTAGTTAAGAATATGAATAATATATAATTTCATTGAAATTAAGTTGTCAAAGTTGGATTATTGCTGAATATAAACATAATGTTTCAATGTGTTGGAGAGAGAATACTTCTAAAAATTGGAAAATTTGTAGCATGAGCATACAAGTTTCAAACTTGTATAAAGTAATGGCTTTGAGGTATTTTTTTGTAAGGGTCAGGTAAGATAAAAGAATGAAAAATAAACAAAGGCATCAATGGTTAAATGATTTGGGTCAATAAACATATTCTAATAGTTAGTTTTTGAAAGATTAGTTCACTTATCACTATTGACTGTAAATTGGTCCATTCTACAATTGCTGACTTAATGAATGACAATACTTTGTCTGTTTCCCGATAGCTGATCTTAAAGTTGTTTGAATTCAGTCTGATTTCTGATGCTAACTATAATTGAAATTTCATTTGTTCACACAACCTCTAATTTAAAAATTCTAGAAGTGATCAGACTTACGTCAGTTTCCCAGTTGTTGAATATCATGCATCTGTTACCAACTTACAAAATGACCGAAAACCATTCATTGGAAAAACAAATTATTTAAATGCGCTTTCGTTTTGATTGGGTTTAATAGAATTAGAATAGCTTGAAATTCTCCTGCTGTTCACTTGTAAAGTTCACTCTTAAGAAGCTTTTAAGGTAACTGGTTTCTGTGTTACTCTTTTTACTTATCTCTCTATAGTTTACTCCTTTTATCTTTACTATCTTTTGTAACATAGAGGAAGTATTGTTAAAGCTTTTCACTATTAGCTTTATGACTCTCTTATGTCCTGAAGAGAAATGATCTTGTCATGGCACTAATAATGGTCCATGGCGATTCACTGATCCGAAGAGAAGTCTTTTCTATATATCCTTTTATTTTAATGGGAATGATGGACCTTGGAGTCTCAACCTTCTCATGGCATTTTTACTTAAAATTGTAATTAATTGTTTGGGCAACACATTTTCCAATGTTGTAGATAACATTACATGGTTTAAATGTGAGAGTATCTTATTTGCTAGAAGCATATACACTATCTTGGAAACAATATGAAAAAGTTAAAGCATCTAACCTTTAATAGTAATTGACATTATACACGTCGGCCTTTTTTTATTTTTTATTATATATATATATATATATATAGGATAGAAATATAACTACAATGACTAAAAAGCAGTCATATTATAAAACAAACAATATGCTTAGCTTCATCATCTAAATTTTGTCACTTTTAGTATAAATATTAAAAATTATTTGAAGTTCTATAATTTGGTTTACTCAATAAATCATAATGAATAAAAGTTAATGCATAAATAGTTGTTGTAACGGGCCGGGTGCTTAACAGTCCACCCAAAAGTTTAAGATGTTAGGTGGTGCTACACCCAACCCATACAATACCCAATCATTTTTTCATTCGGATAGTGGTTGGCCCACCCTGCTTGGACCCGGGCACCTCCCAGGTGGGTGCACCCACGCTAGCGCTTGGCGTGACACCGGATCTGATGCCAATTGTAGCAGGCCGGGTGTTTCGTAGTCTGACTTAAAAGGTTAAACTATTTTGTGGTGCTAATATCCAAATCATATATACCCAATCACTTTCCAATCCGGTTCCGACTTGGGACAAGACCCCTCTAACAGTTGTCCACTTCATGTTTGTTTCCAATTTTTTAAAGATTTGACGTGTCGTAAAATGTCTCTGCTTGTGCTACTTGGGTTTAATTTTTTTTGTGCTACATGAGTTTATTTTTTTCCATTTTATGATTCATATTATATTAATGTTTCACAGTTATTTAGATTTTTTTAAACACTATATGTAGCATTGCTTGCATATTGCCTGACTGAGTTGCAAATTTGACCCTAAAGTAGTAAAGTCTGCAACTAATACCGCAACTTTGAACCTTGCTTCTCACAGAATTTCCATCCTGTTTTCTTTTCTCTCCCTCTTGTTAGTTTATTTTATTTTATTTTATTTTCTCTCTCTACCCATTTTCCTTGTCCTCTTTAATCCCCATTTTCTTTCTTTTATATAGTTGAGGTCGCATGGATGTGGGTTCCATGTGTTGTGGACGTGTGTCTTACATTGTGTCCTTATTTTTGCCCTCTGGACTGTTCGATAGGGCAAACTTAAGTTTGGTCTTTGATGAAACTCACGCTTCCCCAGTCTAAGTTTAAAATTTGACATGATTAATTACAGTTTTTTGCTGAATTCTCTTGAATTAACATTTTTGCCTTTATATCACCTTAAAATATATTTTCCATACAAATGAAATATGAATTTGAATTAACCATCACAAAATAAACCTTAATTAGACCTGACATTATTTGACCAGTATGTGTTTTTACTCCAGCAATCTGTTGGGAGCATCCACAATTATTGGAAAGTGGTCTCCAGAAGAAGGATTTAAATCCTATTTGTTATCAGTTTTCTAATGAGATCCAATAGCACAGCTTCTGTAGTTGTTGCGGCAGACAGCCTTAATTTGAATGCTAAGGGTAACAACATTTGGTTGTAAAGCAAGAAAACTAATATGAAGAAAGTCTTGTGGTAGCAGTTCAATAGTTATGATGCAATCATTGAACAATTTCATAAGAGCATTTTTGTGTAGTTTGTTCGGACCCAATACCAGAATAACGGTATCTAGTTATACCAATTTGGTGGCTCTTTTATGAACTTCCATAATCTGGCATTATAAGCGAGTGTTTTCCTCCGTAAGAATGATGTTCCCAAATAAAATTTTAATTTGTTTGACTATACTTCAGTATTATGGTTTTCAAGATCTGAATTTTGGAAGATGTATATGTTTGGACAAGTTGCTTATAGCTAAACCTTTCCTCCTTTTCTTAATTTCTTATCTTGCTCCTCACTAGATTTGGGTATTGGTCTGGGCTTTGGGCTATGAATTCAGAGCTGATGCGGTGCTTTGTGTAGTCATGTTGTATTTTATAATTTTCTCTTGTTTGCTTCATAGTGGGCCCTGCTAGTGCATGTTCAACTTATTGGTCTGACGTGACAGAATGTGCTTCTTTGTTTATTTATTTTTGGTTGTAGTTGCTGTATTAGTATTTATGTATAGGTATTGTTGGTTGTCCATTTGTAGGTTCAGTTTCAAGTTCAGGTTTTATGATGATTTAAGAGGAATATAAAGACCAGATGCATACCCTTTTTCTCTTTATGTTATGTTACTGTCCACGGATTCATCCCCATATTAATTACTGTTTGTTTAATTTTGTGACAGCTGCAAGGGCAATAGATTTACTTAATTTTACTCCCCTCAATGGCAAATCAATCAGAATTATGTATTCTCATCGCGACCCCAGTATCCGTAAGAGTGGTACTGCAAATATTTTTATCAAGGTATTTACATGTTATGTTTGTTTTCCTCATCTCTCTCTAGACATGTTTGTCTTGATAACTTGGCTATGGATGTGTTGCTTAGAATTTTAATAGTCATGGAGCACAACCTGTAAACTCTGGATGCATTTCATGTCAATTAATAAGTTTCTTTTGTGTGTAAAATATATATATTTAATACAAAAAAGAGTTTGGTAACATTCTTTCCATCTTCTGTGGATTATACTTGCACTGAAATGATATTGTGTGCATGTTATTATGTGTTAGGTTTTGCTTTGTGATTTCATATTTTATTCATACATCTATTGCACATTTTCTGCAGAATCTGGACAAGGCAATTGACAACAAGGCTTTACACGACACATTTTCTAGCTTCGGCAACATCCTTTCTTGCAAGATAGCTACTGATCCTTCTGGCCAGTCCAAAGGCTATGGTTTTGTACAATTTGACAATGAAGATTCTGCTCAAGGTGCAATTGATAAGTTAAATGGCATGCTTATCAATGATAAACAAGTGTATGTTGGACATTTTCTTCGTAAGCAGGAAAGAGACACCGTTATGAATAAGACAAAATTCAATAACGTGTACGTGAAAAATCTCGCAGAATCAACAGCAGAAGAGGATCTGAAGAACACTTTTGGTGAATATGGAACAATTACCAGTGTGGTAGTGATGAGGGATGCTGATGGAAAATCCAAGTGTTTCGGATTTGTAAACTTTGAGAATGCAGATGATGCTGCCAATGCTGTTGAGGCTCTAAATGGAAAGAAATTTGATGACAAGGAGTGGTATGTTGGGAAAGCCCAGAAGAAATCTGAAAGAGAGCTCGAACTGAAAAGTCGTTTTGAGCAGACTGCAAAGGAAGCAGTTGATAAATTTCAAGGGGTGAATTTGTATATCAAAAACTTGGATGACAGCATTGATGATGATAAATTAAAGGAATTATTCTCAGAGTTTGGTACAATTACTTCATGCAAGGTTTGTAGAATGCTTGTTGAATAGGAGAATATTAAAACTCATCTGCCTTTCCCCTGTGGGTATGCATGTGTGTTGCCTGACTAATGGACTTGAAATTTTTTCTTTTTCTTTATTTCCTTGCCTTTTGGGGTTTATAGGTTATGCGTGACCCTAGTGGAGTTAGCAGAGGATCAGGATTTGTTGCCTTCTCGACACCTGAAGAAGCATCTCGAGCTGTAAATTGGTTTTTCTTTTTCCATTTTGTTGGGTATTCTTGCCTTTCATATCATGATACATTAGACATTATCTGTTTTTATTCTTAAACTACAGCTTGCTGAGATGAATGGTAAAATGATTGTCAGTAAACCCCTCTATGTTGCACTTGCACAGCGAAAAGAAGAGAGGAGAGCAAGGCTGCAGGTAATGTTACTGTGTACATTTACTCTTGGATGAAGATATTGTGTGGGTCGAGAGTGTAGATTTGATAAATACATTACTTTGACAAACACCCACTCTTTATGTGCATTTTAAAAATTTAGTTGGGGGCATTTTAAAAATTTTAACAAAAATTATGTCATAATGTAAATAAGAAAATATTTCAATGGGGCCGGACGTCCCCACTCGCTCTTGATAGGTCTCTGTCCCTGAAGTTGCATTTATGTTTGTTCAACCTGCATGGTTTTGAATTGAATATTTTTGAGGGACTAATATTGCTTTAGAAGCTATGAAGTTTTATATATACACCTGTATAGCTTTCAACTCACATATTGTAATGTAGATTTAGTGGAAATCAAGTCAATGCTAAAAGATCAATGAATATTTTCTTATTTAAATTATGACATAATTATTGTTAAATTTTTTAAAATGCCCCCGCTAAAATTTTAAAATACCCCGCTATATATTCTTGCCCACTGATAGTCTCGGGTCTTAGAGAAGGTAAAATATTTGAGTCTTTCTCACTCTCTACTGCCCCACATCCATGGTAATTGACTCTCTCTCTCTCTCTCATTCTCTCTTTAGCATTTGAGACTATACAGAGAATATTTTGATGTGAATATTCGGAACAATCAATTACACAATCCAATAAAAGATCAATGAATATGTCATTATTTGAGTTTGAAATAGATATATTTGGTAGCATAAATTATGAATCTAGCATCCGGCTTTCTGAAAATATGAAAACTTGTGGAGAACAATTGTAAATGTACTCGAAAATATCAATTAATGTAAGATTCTTTTGTTTATTATGATAGTTTTTTTTAAAAAAATTATTCTTGTCGTTCAAGGCCGCCCCTCATCTGTAATTTTCTGGGTCTATCACTGAGCAACTTCATTAATTTTGGATGCCGCTACAAATAGTGACTAACTTTTACTTTATTTTTCCATCGTTTTTTCCCATGTTGGATAGGCTTAGGTGATTTAAATGTAGAAGTGGCTTCCCTATATTTTTCTCCCATGTTTTCACAGCTCGTCACTTTTTAATCATAGACTGCTGATGCGACGGTCTTCTGGAAAGCTTTTCATGTGTGTGTAATATTTAGGCACAAGGATTTAGTCATGTTCCTTCCATTTTTACACCTGTAATTTATTTTCTCCAGGCGCAATTTTCGCAAATGAGGCCAGTTGCAATGGCACCTTCAATTGCTCCTCGAATGCCAATGTATCCTCCTGGTGCTCCAGGGCTTGGTCAACAATTATTTTATGGGCAAGCCCCCCCAGCTATAATTCCTCAGGTTATGACTGTTCCTGGCTTCTTTGTCTCTCTCTTTTCACTTGTTATAGGCTAAATTTTCTTCTTTCACTTGTAATTATCATATTTCGTAAAAATATATGAGTGATGTGGCACAAATGCACAAAAGCAGGAACATAAATATGATGGGGACACAAAAAGTTGTCATATTCATATAAGAAATCATTTGCGAGATGGGCATTTCGAAATGTTGGACCCAGTGTTATTAAAGGCGCACCCAGGCGCGCCTAGGCTCTAGGCTCTAGGCGCCTACAGGCACATGAATTGCACCTCATGATAGCCCAGGCGCAGCAACCTTCATTAGGCGCGCGCCTGGGATGCGCCTCATGCTTCCTCTTAAGTTGTTTTTTAATTATTTTTTTTGTTCTGTTCAGCTTTTGCCATGTGCTGAAATAAAAAGGGGCTTTTGTAAATTTGTCTTCTTGTGCAGTAAAAGAATAAAATAAAGAAAAGCAATGGTCAAATAAAGATGGATACAACATAGAAACGTGAGAGTGTGGAACAAATAAAGAAGGACCAAAAGCAGAGAAAGAAAGAAAAGGGAGTAGTTTGTTGCAGTGAACTTTGTCTTCTTGTGCAATAAAAGAAAAAAATAAAGAAAAGAAAAGGGAGTAGCCAAGTAGTTTGTTGCAGTGAACTTTGTCGTCTTGTGTAATAAAAGAATAAAATAAAGAAAAGAAAAGGGATTAGCCAAACAACTTCTTAGTATGTCTTGATTTTCTTTGTTCTCATTTGCTTCGGAGTGCTGCTAGCTGCATGCATTTTCATGTCGTTTTACTGTTTGGGGGCCTTAGTGGCATGAGTTTAAAATTTCCTGCTTTGTTTTTTTTCCTCCCTGAATAATCTGAATGTATTTTACTGAATTATTTTGAATGCATTTTCCTGAATGAATTTACCTTTTTGTTTTGAATGCAGTTTGCTAAGTTCTGAATGTTGTTTGCTGGATTTTGCTAGATTATTTGAAATGTTGAATGCATCTTGCTGCATGCTGTTTGCTGAATGCTGTTTGCTGAAATTTTTAGGTCCCCTTAAAATTGTTTGGTTTTATGACTCAAAACTGAAACTAAATATGTTCCATTTGCTGTTTTTCTTAATGGAGCTTTATTGTTTTAATTGTGCTATTTTGCTGGTTGCTTTATTGGTTTAATTGTGATATATTTAGTATTTTTATTAATGGATGTTTATTGTTTAATTGTGTTCTTTTTGTTGAGAATTATTGTTTTAAATTTTTACTTGTGCGCCTCACATCACTCAAGCGTGCCACGCTAGGCTCCAAGGGAACTCTAGCGCCTTTAATAACACTAGTTGGACCCATAAATCTGGGTGTTTTGGTATTGAATGTTAGAATAAGCTTCCCTCCCATATATGTACACGCACAAAATACACTTGTTCTATAAAAAGGGCACACCCTGAATATTTTAATTGTTAAAAGGGTGTAGATATGCATCCTTGGGACAATTCTTGTTGCCAATTCCTTTTGCCTTTTCTTTTATTACTTTCTTATCTACTTAAGTTTTTGTATAATGTCCTTGACTAGCTCTGGAAACCTACATTTGCTTATATTTGGAATTATTGGGTGTTCTTTCGTTATCTAATCGTTCATTTATCAGTTCCTTAGTTCCCTCTTTTTATAAAATTATTAAACTATTTGTCAAAAATTCTAATCTTATATAGAAGAGATTTCTTTTAAAGAGGTAGTTGGCACTTGTTTGGCTAAGCATTTCATATGAATGCGCATTGACCATTCAATATTGTCCCCCAAAATTTATCCTGGTTTTTACAGTTTCAAAATGCACCATGTGTCTAGTATCCTCCCCTTTTTCCCCATCCAGCCTTATTCAGTCAAGTACGTGTCGAATTTAGTGAAGGGAAGAAGTACCTCCTATTCACATTATCTTAACACTTCGCACCCCAACTCTCCTTGTCAGGAAGGGGACTTTAACGAGGCCTTATTTGTATCTAGGGGGAAATTTAAGCATGATTGACCAGGATTGGTATCTTGTTTTAGAATAGGAAAATCATTTTTGGTGTCTGGTGAAAATCATTTAGAGTTTGACAATGGGATAACTCCGACAGTTGGACTCCATGTCATGACTCTTTATATAAGACATTTCATGGGCCTAGGTTGAAGCCAAATGAACTCGTGGACACATCAGTGCTAAAAGTTTTAAATTTTTATTTTACAAGAATTTAAAATATCAAACTTTACATGTTAATACATTTTAAGAAATAGGAAAATATAGAAATTCATGATCCCTTTAAAGGGGACCAAAATTGCAATCTCTTTATAAATTTTTACGAGTTCGTCTTGAATTTTTTATATTTTCTATTGTATCTCTAAAAAAGATGAATTACACTGTTGTCCTTCTTGGGGTGTTGATAGAAACAGAACTTGCTTCTTTAGTGCATATTTTCTTCATAATTGTCATTGGTGCAAAGAACCTTTACAGCCCTCATCCCTGCCCACTACCAGAAGTTCATTTGAATCAGGCCCATGACGTCATATCCGTGTGCAGCTAACACTGTTTGGAGTCAAATCCCAGGATTTGAAAAGAAAGAAATTTCTTTTTTTAGTTTGAACGTAAAATAGGATTTGGAATGAAAATAATAGATAGAAAATTTGGGAGGAATCTCCCAAGGGGCTTTGAAATTTAGCATTATTAGCTCTCTTTTTAGTTGGGCGAATGGGTAAAATTTGTAAATCTATGGAGGAGATATTTGATTTTTTGGGTTCCTTGGGTCCATAGGACCCCTTTTTGGCTTCGGCCTTTGTGTTGTCTGCGGGGTGCACGTTCCCCTCTTGAACGCTTTCTAATTCATCTTTCCTTATTAAAATAAAAAAGTAAAAAATTTGTTTCAAAGTATGATTGATATGATATGAAATTGTAATAAGAGTTAATAATGTCACATATAATTATGCCTTTGTATAGCTTTCGGGATGCATTCCCCTTTTGAACGTTATCTAATATACTTTTATTTATCAAAAAAATAAATGTCACATATAATTATAAAAAATAAACTTAACAAATAGCAACAACAAATTATAATGTACTTTCTTTTTTTTGATAAAAACTACAATGAAGAATGCTTTAATGCGAATAGAGAGAGAGAGAGAGACTCATTTGAAGCTTATAGGAAGAAACAAAGAGAGAGACCTGATATGCTATGATTTAGGTAAAGGGTATATACAGAAAAGTCATAAATAAATGTTATGTTTCAAGTTCCAAATTTCATCAAATTCTACGTTTTTTTATAGAAGTTTGAAAGGCATTTGAAATCCATTAGGTAGAATTTGATGGGATTTGAAGTACCTATCCATCAAATTAGGAAGAATTTGATGCTTATCAAAAAAAAAAAAAAAAAAAAAAAAAAAATTTAGGAAGAATTTGATGGGTTTGAAATTGTGGTAACATATATATACCCTTATCTAAATTATTGCATGTCAGTTCTGGTATTCTTTTATTATATCTATCCTATCAGCTTCCAACTCATTTGAACTTGTATTACTCGAAAGAGGGATTACAAGACACTGTTGTTTGGTGTGGATCAAATGAATTCTTACCCTTATTTATCGGCACAGAGCCTTACAACTTATGGTTAGAATCTATACTAGTTCGATCTAACAGGTGGAAGAATTATAGAACTGATTTTTGAGAATTTTATACATCCCTATACAACTCTATACAAGTGTAAGAAATTCTGGAAAGCTAAGCCATGCAGAAAATCTGTGTCATCGCAGGTCCTTCCCATTGTGTGTGTAGAGGTGTAACATTCCATGGTGGGACATAATTGTTTTGAGTTTTACATGCTTCTCTTTCTTGTTTCTGTTCGGGTTAAAGCCTTCTTCATTATAGTTTTTAATGGATGCAAAATACATTATAATTTGTTATTGCTAATTGTTAACTTAATTTTTTTTTATGTGGCATTATTGACTCTTTTTACAAATTCATATCTATATAATCATTCATGCAAACTAAAAAAGGAATTCTTTCCATTTAAAATCCAATTTGTTCCAAACTTACAAATGGAATTTCAATCCAATTCCAATTCCAATTCCTTTTCATAATCCAAATCCCAAAAGGATTTTGGTTCCAAACATAGCATAGGTATTTTGTCCCACTATTTACAGCTACTTCTGTGGTTTGGGAAGTTACTTTTAGGAAGCACTGACTAAATTGGCAAAATGTGGATTACTATGTTATCCTCGCTCCCTTCAAGGAGAACAATGTAATTGAGGTATTTAATTAGTTTTATTGTATAGCCATAACATGTTGGAGGTAGCGTGATATCTAAAAGCTTGTTTGTACCTGCTGAGATCTTGTTATGTCTTCCTTCAATTTGGTAGGTTTTTGCCACTAAATAAATGCACTTGTATTGGTTCAAGTCACTGCTGTTCTTATGATTTATTCCTTTTAAAGCTTTTCCTTCTCTCCTTTTGACAGATATGGCTAAATTTGTAAATATGAAAACATAAACCATAGCATTTTACACTATATTAGACGATGATGTGTGAGCCTGGGGCTCTTGATGCTTAAACTTCTACCTTGACTTTTTATTTTGAAAAAAACAAGTTAGATTAAAAACAAATAAGTTATTAAACTGTTTTAAGTTGCAAGGCAAGGGTGCTTATATAGTGAGGTTATGCTTCCAAGAACCTCAATGTTGCACATAATTATGTGGATATATGGAGTTGTAAAGAATCTGGCTATAAGCTTTTTCTAAGCCGTGTCAAATGTGTGTTTATGATGGATTTGAGGGCCATGAATTGATTTGGGAGGCAAATATTCTAATTTATCAAAACGAATTTTGTAGGCTGGATTTGGTTACCAGCAGCAGCTTGTACCTGGAATGAGGCCAGGTGGGCCTCCTATGCCAAATTTCTTTGTGCCAGTTGTTCAGCAGGGTCAACAGGGGCAGCGCCCTGGTGGGAGACGTGGAGCTGGTCCCATGCAGCAAACCCAGCAGCCTGTTCCAATGATGCAACAGCAGGTCAGTTTGCATCTCATATTTTACACACTGCATTTCTCTTAATTCTTGCTACTTCTGATGCACGAAATAAATTTTGGGGATTTTTCTTTCAGATGCTTCCTCGGGGACGCGTCTATCGATATCCACCTGGCCGCAACATGCCAGATGTCCCGATGCCTGGCGTTGGAGGCATGCTTTCTGTTCCATATGACATGGGTGGCATGCTACCTCGAGATGCTTCGATGGGACAGCCTATGCCAGTTCCGGCTTTGGCGACTGCCCTTGCAAATGCACCTCCTGATCAGCAGAGGACGGTAGGCTTGTTTCCATACTCTTAAGACAATTCTAGAGCCTGGTTTTGTTGTACCTTTGACGTTTCGATCTTTTTTTGGGTGAGTAGATGCTAGGCGAAAACTTGTACCCCCTGGTGGATCAGCTGGAGCATGAGCACGCGGCCAAGGTAACAGGCATGCTTCTGGAAATGGACCAGACAGAGGTTTTGCATTTGCTTGAATCACCAGATGCTTTGAAGGCAAAAGTTGCAGAGGCAATGGAGGTCTTGAGGAACGTTGCTCAGCAGCAAGCAAACAGTCCAGCCGACCAACTGGCGTCTCTGTCCCTGAATGACAACCTAATTTCCTGAGCGAGTTTGATTCAAATTTGTGTGCGTGTCGTCGTGTTGCAATCTATACCAAGTTTCTTCTGGTAGTGAAGGCATGATTTTGTTTTGGTATTTGGAGTTGATTTTAGCGTTATGTAGGTTACTGAAAGCATATTTTGACTTCCCAATCTTTTATTTTATTCTTTGTGAGGATTGCTGAGATTCCATGAACTTGTTATGGTTTTATTGGTGTGAAAGACTTCATCATATGAGGATATGCTTGTGAGGACATTTTTATTTTTTTATGAGCAATGTGCTGCTCTCTTTTTGTTATTGTTTTGGTAGGTAAGACACTGAACTAGTGTCAACTATTGTTCCCAATAGGTCCAATAGGTGGGGGGGGGGGGGGGGGGGGGGGGGGGGGTGGTGGTTGGTTAGAAGCCTCAAAACATCCAATGCTAGCAAGAAGAGCTTCAAAAGCGACCGACTTTGCACTTTGAAACGAGAAGCCAAATGCAAAATCTGCACTGTAGAATTCTTCAATAGTATACAGAACATAGGATTTGATTAGGGTTGATTGATTGATTAAAGTAGGCCTGAGATTGGTTCTTGAACTCGTGGCAATTTTTTTTAGAGCTCTATGGCTTTAATAGAAATACAGAACATGTTTGTATAAAAGAAAACATTTGGCGCTTGACACAAAACTATCATTTGGCATATTGCTTAAGGACTCTCAAAACTATAGTGGACTGTCCTTAGACAAGACTATTCTTTGGCATATGAAAAATTAATATACTAAAGTATAAAAACGGTTCATATTATTAAGACCTTCAAAATGCAACAAAACCATCCGAACAAATATATAGAGCTTTTCTTTCTATGTATCTTGTTTAGGATCCTCAGTTGTATATATATACAAAGTTTCTCATCACCATTGCTGTAGAAAGTCACAAGGGGTAATAAATACCATTGACGCATTCCAATATTATGCACTAGCTTCTTGAATGTTGTAGTTGGAAGCGCTTTACTGAATAAATCTGCTAGATTATTACTCGAGCGTATGAACGTCGATATCATGGCTCTTCTGGAGCTCAAGTGTGGAAAAGAATTTTGGTGAAATGTGCTTAGTTCTGTCACTTTTTATGTAACATCCTCTTATCTATGTAATATATGTTGCATTATTTTTATATAATATTGTTGGGTTATCTTTGATTGAGGAGAGTCCACATGATCCTCGGATATGTTGTACCACATATCTTAACCAAACACACTCTCGACCTGCTTTATGAATTGTAAGTATCTTAGAGTGATTTGAGGAAGTTGCAGTCATGGTTTGTATATATAGCAATGTCACCACAAGTAAACAAGTACTCTGTTTGTGATCGGGCTGTATGTGGGTCGGAAAGATAACCTACATCTGCATATCCGACCAACTGTGGCTTTGATTTTCTTGAATAAAACGACCCAATATCAGTCGTTCCACAAAGGTAACGTAGAATGTGTTCGACCCATGGTGCAGAACGATACCGTGCTAGTAAGTTAATTGTAAATGCTATATCAGGTCTGGTGCAATTCACAAGGTACATAAAAGCATTGATTGCACTTAGATATGGTAGTTTAGGACCAAGAATTTCTTCGTCTTCTTCTTGAGGACGAAAATGATCTTTCTTAATATCAAGTGGTCGAACAATCATTGGAGTATTCAAGGGATGAGTTTTATCTATATAAAAACACTTCAGAATTTTTTAAGTGTATGTTGAGTGATGGATAAGAGTTCCATTTGGTAAATACTAGATCTGCAGGTCGAGAATTTTTTTGTTTTACCAAGATCTTTCATTTCGAATTCTTCTTTAAATAATCAGCAGTCGTAGTGAGCTTTTCAGGAGTTTCCACAAGATTTAGATCAAATCCAAATTTTGATTTCTTGATGAAAATGCATAGACAAATTGGATTATTCACATATCATTCTTTTAGTAAATACTCATTGAGACGATTGTACTACATGCGTCCAGATTGATTCAATCCGTATAATGATCGTTGTAGCTTGATTGAATACATGGTACATGGTATTAAGTTATTTGGTTCAGACATTTTAAATCCTTCAGCGATTTTCATAAATATATGTCATTATCTAGTGATCCATATAAATAAGTCGTAACCACGTCCATAAGACGTATATATAGTCCTTTTAAGACTGTCAAACTGATTAAGTGAAATGTGATTGCATCCATCACAGGAGAGTTGTCTCATCATAATTAATACTAGGTCTATGCGAGAAACCTTGAGCTACAAGTCAGGTTTTGTATCTTAGAATTTCATTTTTCTCATTATGTTGATTGAATCCATCACAAGAGAGTATGTCTCCTCATAATCAATACTAGGCTTTTGCGAGAAAGCTTGAGCTACAAGTTGGGCTTTGTGTCTTAGAATTTCATTTTTCTCATTACGTTTCTATACAAATACCCATTTGTACCCTACAGGCATGACATCTTCAGGTGTCTGAACTACAGTCCAAAAAACTTCACCTTTTGCTAAGAGTTTAGCTCTGCCTGTATCCTTTCTTTCCATTTTGGCCAATTAATTCTATGTTAACACTATTCGATGTTTTGAGATTCAGGATCCTCATTATCACCTGTAATGTCAAAAACAACTACAAAAGAGAATATCGTTAATAATAATTGTATTCTTATCCCACAATTCTCCATAGTTCATTGAGATCTCATTACTTTCAGGTACCGGTCCTCTTCTAGGGCTTGTGTCACTTCTGGGGTATGCTCCACTTTTGGGGTATGTGCCACTTTTGGGGCATGCCTTTTCTGGGGCCTATGCTACTTTCGGGGCTTGCCTCTTCTGGGATTACTTGTTTATAAAATTTAAATTAATTAATCATTTTTGTTGTTCCTTTTGCAAGTGTGGCATCTTCAGGAGCGCCAATTTCTTTATTTGATTTCTCTTGTACTTTCCTTTTCCACGGAACAGTATCTTTTGCACCAATAGGCCTTCCACGCTTCTAGCGTGTTGTAGATACATCAGTTGCAGTACTGATGGGTTGTCCTTCAGGGACATCAATTCGGCTGGAATATTTGCAGTCGGTACATGGAACTTTACCCTTTTCTTTGTGTCAGTGCATGCGTCTGGCAATTGATTTTCAATACCTTAAAAATGAATGATCCTCTGAACTTCTAACTCACAATGATTTGTTCGAGAATCAAAATGAGATAAAGCTGAGACATTCCAATTAATCTCATTTCGCTCTATTTGTGTCTTTTCTTCCCCTAATGGTGTTAAGACAACCTCATCAAAATGATAGTCAGCAAATCTTACCTATATAAATCCCAAGTCGTTGTTGATGACCCATTTTGGTGCGTTGTGGTGGTGCAATAGAAACATGCACAGTGCAACCAAAAACTCGTAAGTGAGAAATATTTGGTTGTTGACCAACTACAAGTTGTAAAGGTGAAAAACTATGATAAGTAGTTGGTTTAATGTGAACTAAGGATGCTCATGTAATATGGCTTGTCCCCAAGCAGATATAGGGAGCTTTGTTCTTATAAGTAATGGTCTAGCAATTAACTGAAGATGTTTAATAAAAGATTCTACAAGACCATTTTGTGTTTAAGTGTGTGGAACAGGATGTTCAACATCAATACCAATTGACATGTAATAGTCATCAAATGCTCGAGACGTGAATTCTCTGGCATTATCAAGACGGATCGTCTTGATCGGATAGTCCAGGAATTGTGCTTGTAATCGAATTATTTGAGCAAGAAGTCGAGCAAATGCAACATTATAAGTAAAAAGTAAACCTAAGTGAGACCACCGTCTTGATGCATTAATTAAGACCATAAAATACTGAAATGGTCCATACATTGGATGAATTGGTCCATATATATCCCCCTGAATTCTTTGTAAAAACATTAAGGATTCAACGACGACGTTTGAGGGTGACGGTCTGACAATCAATTTACCTAGTGAGTAGGCGGTACATGGATAATCACTTGACAAAATAATCTTCTGATTTTTTAGTGGATGCCTATGTGAATTTTTGATGATTCGGCGCATTACTGTTGACCTAGGATGGCCAAGACGATCATGCTAAAGTATAAAAATCTTTGGGTCATAGCACTTATGGTGCTTGCACTTTTGTGGTAATGAGCGTTGAAAAGTGAGTATTTAAACCCCTTAAGCTTAGGTATTCTAGAACCTTTATCTATCTTATTTTCCCGTTTTGTATTGATTTCGTGTTATTTCCATTTTCAGGTACTTGTCCCCAAAATAAGCTAACTCAGCCAAATAAGAGCATAATTGAAGCAATTCTGGGATGAATCAAAGAAAGGAGCAAAGTAGAGCAAAGGGAAGTAAAAGGTGGAATTTCAGCAACTTCGATCGATCTCAATAAAAGTTCGATCTATTTAACTTTCATCGATCTCAGCACTTCAAGATAGATCCAGGCCATGATGTCATCTTCAGAGATCCCAAAAGTTCGATCGATCCAACATCATTCTCTGATCGATCGAACTTTCTTGTCCTTATCCACATGCCAGATCTTATCCAACTGTACCACCATACCAACCACTTTTGTCATTTTCCCAAAAATATCTTCAAAATATCTCAGATTTGTTTTTATCCAAAAAAGGCGCCACCATTGAGGATCGATCCAGCTTTAATTCTATAGATCTCAGCCATGTTCGATCGATCTCACTACAAGTTCGATCGATCGAACTTCCCAAATCCCGAGAAAATTCTAAATTCCAGCTCATTAAAAGTTGTCTCATATCCAATCATTAGAGGATTATTGGTGTACGAGCCCAGCCCATTTGGGGTGATTTTTGACCTACCTATATAAGGAATATGAGCCACTTTTTGAGGGAGACTTGGAGACTTTATACTTTTATACTTAGAGAGGAAACAAAGGAGAGGAGGAGGTGATCGGTTGATCAACTATACATCAACCTTCGCAATAGCACGAATCATTGTAAAATAGGGCTATTGGTCGGGTAAGTCGAACCACTGGGACTGCGCTAGTCTACGGCAACCTAAGTGTCTAGAATTGTTCTTAGAATGATAAGGGGTTTATAGAGGTTTGTTGGATGTCACTTAAGCTAGGAAATTAAAAGTGCATAAAACAATAAATTGCAAGAATTCAAGGGAGTGACATACAAGTAAAGAAGGCTAGGGAAATGAATCCACCTCCATCCCTATACACATGCTAGGTTAAGAATAATTTAAGGGAAAAACAACATATATGATAGTCATGATACATAACAATACTAGGTTGCTATAATATCCTCAAGAAGTTCATTTAAATAGGAAGGCAAGAATAAACCATCAAA